CTCTTGCAAGACATGCAAAAAGCTTTCGATTCGGTGTCATTAGAAATGTTGGAAAAAGCTCTTTTACGATTAAAGCTCCCGTCTACTGCAATTAATTTCATTCTAGATCTCTTTGGTGAACGTCAGCTTAAAATTATTACGGCCTTCGGACTTAGCAACGGCTTTAAAGCCATAGATGGAATAGACCAGGGGGAAGTGGTATCACCCTTGGTCTGGAGGGTTTTTTATGATCCGCTTTTGTGTTATGTACAAAATGAAACCAACTTGGGCTACGATCTGAGTTTGGGTAAACATGAGGCATATCCTATAAACTATTCAACCCGATTTGCGGCAATTGCTTATGCTGACAATACAACGTGGGTAGCTAGCAACAAGCAACAGCTAGAAGCGATCTTAAAGATTGTGGAGGAGTTTTACAAGATAAACAATATAAAGATCAACCCCAAGAAGTCTAAGTTAGTAGCACTTAATACAAGAGAGGAAAATCGATCCTTCTATCACAAAACAAAATCATAGAAGAAGGAAAAGATACCCTAGTGCGATTTCTAGGTGTTTGGTTGAACCAGAGGAAGAATAAGAAGCTTATAAAAGCAAAAGCGAAATGGATTTTGCAACAATTTGGTGAAACATTATATCACAAAAAATTAACATTTAGTCAACTCTCATACATCAATAACATGTGTATTCTTCCCAAACTGAGCTACATTTTACAAACAACCAACCTTTCACGAAAGAATTTAGACGAAATTCAGCAACCTTTTCTAAGAATGGTGAAAAACAAAATAGAATTCGCACGTTCAACAAGTAATTGCCTAATAACTCACCAAAATTTAGGCAACTGTAAGAAACTTAGCGATGAAGTCTTCACAAAGCAAATAACAGGCCTGATATATAGGTTAAATAGTACAGGAATCGAGGCAAACGTCGCGAAGAAACGCATTACACAAGGTTGGTTTTTAGCAGCACTAAGCGAAAGATCTCCTAAAAAATCAGACATAGTAACTCTAGAGAAACTATGGAAAGGCAATTTGGACTGCTCAATTTGCCTCAAAGCAAAAGAGAAAGACCTCGAAATAACTCTGACTGAAGATACTATCACTCCAGAAATCGCTCCGGTTAAAATAAAGAGCTTATTATCACCAAAAAGCTTTTATCATTCATACAAGCACTTAAATAAATTCAGTTTGACATATTTTGGACAATTAATCAACTTTGAAAGAAGAAACATGATTACTTGGCAACAATTAAAAAAAGTCTTAGGCCTTTCAAGTCAAGAAAAGAAAGCTTTTTGGTTCACTGAACTAGAAAGAGAAGTAATTATAGAAACAGACACAAGAGAAATTGCAGCAAGCCTTAACATGCCAGAACCGAATTCGCTAGCCCTGAAGATCAAAAAGACCCTCATTTCAGAGGACCGACGGGTAAAGGATTGGGTCATATATAATAGTGATTTAAGTAAACAAGAATATGGTAGAATAACACAGAAGGCAAAAAAAGAAGTATGTGTCGAACATTGGCGCGATAGTTTATCTCAAAAGTCAGCAAATGTCTGCATTGTCAAATGCGAAGGCTGTCAATTTGGAGAAGAAAGTAGTAAAGGTGTCTGTACAAGCTGGATCAAGAAAGAAAATGTCGTAGGGGTGCTCCCAAGGCCATATAGAGAAGGAGATAAACGTAAATTCCCAATAAACGTGGATATGGTTTCTGGGGCAAGAAAAAAGAAAAGAATAAGTAGTATAGGTTCAAAAGAACAAATTTTCAGTAATATTAGCATAGTCAATTGTTTGGAAATAGAATTAATTTTGAAGGAGAAGCTAGAGAGTGAAACAGAGTATCTTTTAGTAAATAGTTTTAGGAAAAACTTAGATAGGAAATGTGAACGGTTCATTTTTTACACAGACGGTTCTCTAGTAGAGAGTTTGAGTAACATTAATTCCTGTTGCACGATGGGAGCTGGGTGGGTTCAATTAAACGACACAGAGGAAAAAATTTTGGATACAATGTCAATTAAAGCATTCCAATGGCCATCATCAACAAAGGCAGAACTCTTAGCAATATGGACCATGCTCTTAACAATCCCAAGTGAAGCAGAAGTTATAGTTTACACAGATAGTCTGGCAGCAATCTGCACGATGGAATCAGGATTCTCTCTTAAACCAGCAAGAAGGGCGCTAAAGCGATCTAATTTTCTTCTGACGGAAAAAATCATAGATCTAATAAGAACTAAGAATATTACCCTTGAGCTCAACAAGGTGAAAGCGCACAGCAACAACAAATGGAACGATTTGGCAGACAAATTAGCAAAGAAAGGTTGTGAAGCATCAGAAACAATTCAAGTAGAATTAGGAGAAAGGTCAAGATTCCAAAGTGTTTTATATTGGAAAAATCGGCTAGTAGAGATACCGCCTCGAGTTTTTATCAAAACACTTAA